GCAAGAATCACAGGTCCGATGATAAATACCCAAGGGGGGAAGGACAGAACCAGGTGGACAGTTTTATCAAATAAAAAATATTTATTTATGACAATGGTGAATTTATAGTATTTATTCTAAGATTTTTAATAGACCGTGTTAATAATGAATTTACAGTATTTATTATATTTATTCTATGATTTCTAGTTAAACGTGTCAGAGATATAAGGATGGGAATGGCAAGGGGAATAGTCTCTAATCTTAAATAGTTAAATGTGTCAGATATAAGGATGGGAATGGCAAGGGGAATGGTCTCTAATCTTAAAATATCCAGCTACACTAATTAAATAACAGTGATAACCACAAACTCTATGTACTACCCAAAACAACTACAACACTACGCTTATACAACAAGAAAAAATCAAATCATACATACCAACTTACACAGCACACGGAACATTTCACAGATATTGGTTCGATTATGAAGGCCTTGGTTATGCCCGAGAGTCGGGGGAGGTGGCTGGTCGGTTGATCAGGCCGGCAGCGCTTTGAAGTATACGAGAAGGCACACGCACAGTGGTACATGTGTTGCGAAGACCTCTTAGAGCGAACTGTGCGATGGGTATTTATCCCCAAATCTGCACATCGCTTTCCCGCACGTGCATATTACCATATATGGCCTAATGGTCACCAAGTGGGGGGTCTGTATCCCAGGGGTTGGGCCGAAACTGAGCAGGTTTCATGAGAACCAGGTAAGCCCCGCAGTTCTCACTCCAAAGTGACGGGTGGGAGAGTCTGAGGCTATTTTCCCCTTTTCACATCTTCCCTTTTTCTAAAGGCAATGGTATGCAGGAAGGGTATGGCCGGTTTCTCCCAAGGAGTACTGCAGCCTACTATAGCAAGAGCAGCCTGGCCAAACTTTTTTACTGGGGGCGTAGGCTTTTTTCTAACAGTGTGTTGTGAGCAAGACACGAGAAGTCATTCTTCTGCTTTACTCTGCACTGGTTAGTCCTCAGTTGGAGTATTGTTTCTAGTTCTGGGCACCACATTTCAAGAAGGATGTGGAGAAATTGGAGAGGGTACAGAGAAGAGCAACAAGAATGATTAAAAGGTCTAGAGAACATGATCTATGGGGGAATGCTGAAGGAACTGAGTTTGTTTAGTTTAGAAAAGAGAAGATCGAGGGGGAACATGATAGCAGTTTTCAGATATCTAAAAGGGTGTCACAAGGAGGAGGGAGAAAACTTGTTCCTCGAACAAGAAGCAATGGACTTAAACTGCAGCAAGGGAGGTTTAGGTTGGACATTAGGAAAAATTCCTAACTGTCAGGGTAGTCAAACACTGGAATAAGTTTCCCAGGGAGGTTGTAGAATCCCCATCTGTGGAGATATTTAAGAGTAGGTTAGATAAATGTCTATCGGGGATGGTCTAGACAGCATTTGGTCCTGCCATGGGGGCAGGGGACTGCACTCGATGACCTCTCCAAGTCCCTTCCAGTCCTAGTATTCTATGATTATACTATGATTATAACTTCTGTTGGTGTGAGAGAGAAGCATTTGGGCTCTGGTAAACATACCCATCAAAAGTTTCAGAAGGGTGCCTGTGTTAGTCTGTAACTGGAAAAACTTAAAAAACAACAAATAATCTTGCAGCATCTTAAAGACTAACAAATAAAATAAGTGGTGTCATGAGCTTTTGTGGGCACAGCCCACTTCTTCAGATGAATGAAGTTTAAGGGGTCTAGTTTTCAAATAAATAGCACAGAGAGGGAATGGGGAGGGAGAGAAGAGGGAAAAAAGGGGAAAGAAATTGTCAAAGTGTCCATGCTAAATGAAGCTGATAAGAATACTTAATACCCACTCTAAGAACCCTTTGTTTGTTTTTTAAGTCATTAAGGTGTGAAATGTAGCGGACCATGTAAGAGACTTTTGTAGTAGGAATCAAACTTGTAAATGAGATTAAGTTCTGTAGGTTCTGTGTGGATTTGGCTTCTGAACTGAGTTTGAAATAATACAATGACTTTGAGATCCATTAATAAGTGCCCAGGCAAGGTTGCTGAGGTCTGTGGGCAGGCCTAGCACCAGAGTGGCAGTGCTGAAGGCTGGCTGTCCCTGACCCCACCCTTTCTACCTTAGTCCCTGCTCTTTTAGAGGCATAGAGCCAGCCTCCCCTTCACACACCTTGCTCAGGAGCCTGCAGAAGCTGCCCCCTCCCTGATAATAAACCATAAATTCAGTGTGTCTGTCTATTCCATGATTTTTACTGTCAAGCAAAGTTACAAATTTAAGCTACTAGGCTCATCTTTTGAAAATGTTGAGCAGGTTTGTTTTGAGGATGAGGACTGATAAGGCAGGAGAGTGATCACTTTGAAACGTGTTCACCCACAGGTGATAGCGGGTGCTTTTGATCTTACTATTTTCATATGACAGCATAGCGACTGTCTGGTTTCACCCCCATATTTGTTAGTGGGGGCCCTTTGTGCACTGTATGAAATAAACAGAATTAGTATTACCATATTAGGTATTGCTTTTTTTAGAGTATTACTGAATTTTTGCCTATATGCTACAGTTTAAACTGTATTAAAACTTGTTTTATCCCTCACTGCTAGGAAAACATCCCTTCACATCATACTGTTTTTCTACCTGATAAAGGCTGTGTAGCTCCTGATCAAAGTTGTGGCTTTTTTTATACAGCTATGGATGTTTTCCCTCCTTCCCTTCATGTTCAGACTGAGCATACTGCCTCTAGAGATGAATAGAATGTCCAAGGCTTGTTTTGCCTCCCATTAGCATCCAACACAAGGGTAACAGAAGAATCCATGTTGGAGCAATCCAGCATCTATCTGCTGTGTCCACAACCAAATTAAGCTTAAATTGGAAACGTAAATTCCAAAGGCCAGGTTATTTTCAGGCTAAGCTTTAATTTACAAGTGTTTAGCAGGAATCCTGACAAAAACTGCTCATGTAAGCCTGTCAAAGAGAAAGAACTTGCTGACATGCTATGAACACAACCTAATCTCCCCTAGAAAGTACATTACAGCCCAAACTATAGAATATTTTGGAAACACCACATCTACTGCAAAATATCTTTTTAAAACATGCTATTTCTGTAGTGCAATATGAGTGAGGAAAAGATCTTCAGCTGTAGCCATCTCCTGTATGTGAAATTTCTCACAGATTTTTTGAAGTCTTGGGGTATATAGATGCTAATTTGAGTGGACGATTCCTCTTGCTTAAATGGGAAGAAATTGAGATGCATGCATTTTTAACTAGATGTCCCTGAAGGTAAAACAGTCATTGTGAGGCAGCAGAGATGATTCATCACGTAATTCTCAACACGGATGAGCTACTTAGACTTGCCACATGTGACACAAACACTTGGTATTAAATAAATTGCACTTTTATTTTAAAATAAGTATTGCTTGTATTGCACATAAGAGGCTCCCATAGGGTTTCTAAAAAGTGGCTGCATTAACCTGCTAGAGAGAAACTGTTCAGCAAGATGCATCATATCTGCACTGAATACTTTGAGTAGACTATAATAAATGATGCAAAAAATTTTCCATGATCATAAATCCAATCGGGGGAGACCACACAATGGGTTTCCAAACAGCTGCTTTACACAGTGGTCATTCTAATAAAGGAGCAGCAGAATAATATATGTACATAGTTGCTTGAAGCTACTCAGAGAGGAATGGTTAATAGAGCTGTTGATTTGTAATTATAATTACAACTCATCAATATGGAACTTTGATTTTTATCCTGTGTGAATCTGCTAGTCTGTTCTGATTTAACTTCACTCTGCCTTTGAGAGAAGTAACCATTTCTATCTTTTCCATGTTAATTCAGTAGTGAACAAGGCCAATAAATCAGAGCCGACAGTACAGCATTTAGGTGCTAGAATAAAACTATGAGCAATAAAAACTGTCAGTGTATGGACAGGAATTTGGCTGAGATTTACGATCAGGAACAAAACTTACACAACCATCTACCACAAACTAATATTGATAAAGCACTTTGAAATCTTCATATGAAGGGCATCAAAAGCATACAAAGGTATTAAATCAATTATTAAGAATAAAATCAATGCAGGAATAAAAATGTACTATTTTTTTTTAAATAAACTATTGGTAATAAGTGTAAAGATTTTAATAAGCTCTTCTACAGTCTCAGTGATCTAGATTGTCATAATATCACACAGCGTTTCCTCTTTTTTCGGCGCTTAGCTTTTTTCATGGCACTCAGTGCAATGTTTGTTGCTTCTTTAAAAACATCCTCTACGTTTTCTCGATATTTGGCTGAGCATTCCAGATAAGCTTCTCCCTTTATCTGCTGACAAGTTGCTTCACCCTAGAAGAAAGGAATGTAGTAAATGTAAATATTATTGGAGTTTAAAATGGGACAAAGGGAATAATTCTGAAGAGGCCTCATACAGTGGACTCAGCCAAAAGATGCCAGATGCTTTTGTTTGTAGAATTAAGGAATAGGTGGTATTACTCCAAAGCCTTACTGTAATACAAATATTTAATAAGGGTAAATAGAAGGGCTCCACTTAGAACTTTTCTGATTTTTAAAAATTAATCTAAGAGCTAGCTTGGATGCGCAATGCAGCGGAGACTCTTAGGTGTGTAGGTTTTACCCACCTTGTTGTGTTAAAGCCCACATTTTTTCAAGTTTAGCTTCTAAACAGAACTTCCAAAACCCATACTTGAACATTGACATTAGCAATAAGGTATGTATCCAGTCTGTCAGGACCCATATTTGAAAGTTGGGTCCATAGTATGAACTTCCTACAGTATAATCAAATTGACCTGACCACAATTATACATGTAATTTCTCTACTTTTCAGAAGCAAGCAGGCTCCCGTGGTGGAAGATCAGTGTTTGAATCTCAAATTCAGGTCTTGGCATTGGAAACTTCTTATGTAGCATGAGTGGCCTCTTCTGCATGAGCCAAGAATAGTGTGGGTGATTTCAGAAGATGACTCAACCAGACAGATGAGTCAGTTTAAGGTATGGCATTTAATAAAGAAGTGGAAATGGATCATAATACACAAGGCATCTTGAAGTGCACTGCTCTTAGGAGTGATTTTCTTAGGAGTTTTCATAAATGTCTACAATATCTTATGGGCATAACAGTTTCAAGGCTGTTGGCAGCACCTAAGCTGAACTTATAAATAAAATGTTACAGTCTTATGCCTGACATTGTCAAACAGAATCATTACATGCAATCTGAGACAATATGCAGAATTTCACAAAGTCACACAGATATTTTTGTTTCTGACTTACTGGAAATAACATCATAATTTCTGACACTGATGCAGCAATAGTTCTCTTTCATAGTCTATAACATTCATTAGTTCTCCTTTTTTAATATTGCAAAATTTGGTACACATGAAGCTGTTGTTGCCTAAAGCTGTATACAGAATACTCAAATTTTGCTGCTGTGTCAATGACCTGTAATGGGAGGGATGACTACATGTTACAGGAAAGAACAAGGAGGCAGCAGAAGGCTCCAGCTTCATTTCTATAGAAGCTTCCTGTACAAAAAGGAACAAGTCACTCCATTTTTGACTAACTTTCCCCATCTGTAAAGTGTGAGCCTTGGTTAATTGCGTAAAGTATTGCCTGCTAGGTAAATTTTGCATCACTAAGCAACAGTAATGTTTGAGGTGAGATGTTCCTTTTTGAGTCAAAATTTCATATCCCCTTAGATTAGTCATGGCAGCGCTTACTAGTCATGAGTAATAATACCACATTACAGGAAATTTGCTTATTTTTCATGCAAAGGACAAAACTCTCAAATGCAATCCTCTGTACCTGGTTATATGTGATTGGTTCCTGCT